AAGAAAGAAAAAAAAAAAAAAAAAAAGAAAGGAAATAACGGCGAAAGCGGGTAGAAAAGGATGCCGTTTCGGCAAATCAGACGGGAAAGAAAAAAGCGAGCCGTGGTCGTCGCGCGTCGAACCGAAAAGAAAAAAACGCGCGAACCGTGTACCGATCGATCGCGATCTCTCGCAAGCGATCGGGAACAGATTACTTGTTTCAAGTTCAGAAGCATCGTAACAATGCTTTATTCGCATTTCACATGTACATTTGTCAAAAGCCGCACACGTCGTTCCAGTGCCCCGTGCTCTCTCCCTCTCTCTCTCTCTCTCTCTCTTTCTCTCGCTCTCTCTCTCTCTCGCTCTCTCTCTCGTTGTTCGACGAGGCGACAATGACGACGGAAACAACGACGTCCTGATGTTAAGTGAACTTCTTCTCGAAACGACGACGACGACGACGACGAGGACGATGAGGAGGACGATGATACCTTCGTCAGACGATCGTTGCCGGTTGGAATGCGATCCTAATTGCGAGAAGAAAACGTGGATATACGGGAGAGTGAGAAACAGAAGACGGTCGATGACGATGGACTCGACGGGAAAACGGATGTGCAAAAGGCTCGTCATCAAGGCGAGTCGATAATATAAATGCGTTGACCCGAATGCTTTCTACGTATATGCTCGTTCACGTGTGCTCTTTGCTTGCTGCGAGTACCACAGTACGGACATTTGAATCGTGGCGCGACGCCGCACTCGTAACGAAGGTGACGCTTCAAACTTTTCACAACAGTGTAACCGTTCCCACACTTTGGGCACGTGTAGTTCTTTTTCTTGCTGCCTCTGCGTCGAAGCGACCCGTAGACATCGTCCATCGTGTGAAACTTGCTCGCTTCCTGATACGGACCAGCCCCGTAATTTCCGTACAATAGGCAAAACGAACGATCCACTGAAAGCAAAAATGCGCAATAATTAGCAAAAGCCGATTTCACCGACGATCGTCGCAACCATCGCGAGAATATCTGCACGCATCATGATCCATTATCCTTCCATCTCTCCTTTTAGAAACCATTCCCACTCTCTCGCTCATTTCTTTAAAACATATTCTCCTCCTCGCTCGCTCGCTCGCTCGCTCACTTGCTCGCTCACTCACTCAGTCAGTCACTCTCTTTCAAATTCTCTGTAAGAGAAATAAAATAAAACGAAAAATTGTCCATCGCACATACAAGGACGTGGGAGGAAAATCGTGATCGAATGAAACATTTATTACTATGCTTGAGAGTAGGTACAATACATGTTGCACGATGATAGTCGTCGTCATCTTAATTAAAACTTGAGGTCAATCACGCAAACTCTTTCGTTGGGATGCTTCTTGCGTATGTGGCAGTAGATCTGGGACGTCTGCTTGCTCTTCAGCTCGCAGTAAGGACATTGGAATCTAGGTTTGTGTCCGCATTCGTACTTGTAATGTCGATTACGGTTACTTTTCAACGTGAAGCCGTGCAGACACTTGGGACAGTAAAAGAGCGAGCGGTCGCTTCTCATGTTGTTCCCGGGCGTTACCATGCTCATCAGCGAGTCCAATATGCTCAGATCTGAAAAAGAAAAAACAAAGTACGGTGAACGTCCGTCCAAAAACGTTTGACACGCAACTAATAGGACTCGTGCGCCAATTCCCCGTTCGTCTCCACCCGTTTGTCGGCCAAAGAGATCGATCAGCCGAACAACGATAACGGGTCGATAATATTTTCAAAACACAAAATCCAATAAAAAGGAAATAAGGCAAGAAGAAAGCAAAAAATGTGTACCGATTGGAACAATGGATTTTCTTAATCTGGCAATGCAACGTGAGTGACAGAGACAGGAGAGAAGAACAAAGAAGTAAAAATGCAATAAGAAATGGAAACCAAAGAAGAAGAAAAAGAAAGAAACAGATAAATACCAATGGTATGTTTATGATAAAAGAGACGTTACAAACGTTGTTTCGTCTCTTTTATCATAATCAAGCGGAGATAGAATTGATGGAGTGTTTGAACATCGATTTTATTTGTATCTTACAATTCCACAGCGATGACGACATATGATCACAAAAACATCATGGAAAGTGAGGAGTAGTAAGTAATTGTTCAGACATCGAATGTAATTCGCGAACATTTATTTTTTAGTCAATGTCCCGAAGGAAATGATCGGTCGTACGCGACCGACCAAACGGAGAAAGAACAACTTGTTCGTACTTGTTATCGGGCGCACACAGTTATCAATAAACGCACTTAACGCTACAACATCATTAATTATATCACAGCAACAAAAACAGTCGGCCACTAACGTCTATGTGCAGGTAGAAGAAAATGGAAATCGAAGATAACGTCTCGAAGCGCGGCGGTGCTTCTGGCGAAGTGAATGGCTGTACACCAAACATTCGTAAGTTTGTACGCCGGCTGTTCTCTCAGCTCGTTCGATTTTCAAAGCCTTAAATGCTCAGTATTATCTCTCATCGCAATTCTTTCATTCGTTTCGACGAGAAACAAAAGCGAAAGAACACATTTTGCCTCGACCGTTTTCACCCTGTACCATTCAGTCTTGAAATAGAGAACGTGCCGATCGATCAAACGGTACACGTCTCCTCTCTGTTTTATTCCGCAAACATCCAACAATATGCCGGACACAGAATTATCCGAAACAACTTTTTTTTTTTTTTTTAAATAGTATTTGATGAACACGCATTTACTCTCCTTTTTCTCCCTTTCTATCTCCTGATCCTATATAGCTCGCTTGATTTCGTCGACAATGAAAGTCCGTTAAAGTCGATTTCTTTCGCTACTATGAACGTTAAGGATGTCGTTATTATTATTATTTTTATTATTATTATTATTACTAGCGTTTCCATCGATTTCTCTTTCTTTTCTATTTCTCTCTCTCTCTCTCTCTCTCTCTCTCTCTCCACTTTAGAAAACATACAATTTCATCTAATAGGACGTCTAGGAATCGAAGAACGTTTCGCGCGATGGCGCGTACGCATCGTGGAACTTTAAACACAGTTGTACTTGAAACATCTTTCCGTTCTCGACTTCTCTCGAGTAAACTGCCGTCGTCAACGACAAAAACCATTCGTAAAAAACACGAGCAATTTCAACGTGCAACAAACTAACTAACCGGGCGATCGCAATACCCTAAAATTCGAGATTCATTTTGAGCATTGTTTCGTTCCACGATAAGAGATCTCGTAAACGATCATTCTTTAATTTTATAAAACATTTAAAAATTTAATAACAACGGAAAATATATGTATCATATATATTATATGCACATATGGTATTCGTATATACGTGTGACGTGGGCAAGTAAATGTGGGCGTGTGTCAGTGTGTATAGATATACAGGATACACCTGCGATCGTGCAAGCGACTAGAGTGATTCCGCACGTAGAAATAAACTGAAAGGAAAGAATGCAATTTTTTCATACACGATTTGCTTTCACTTTCTTCGAGGAAATTGAGTTTGAAAATTTCACGGGATTATTTACGAATCTGGCTAATTACGAATTGGACAGGAATGATTGTTCTTTCTTATTGCGAAATTAAGTGAAAAACGTAGAGTAGAACTTTGTTATTTAAGGTCCCATTTCCACGAAAACAAAGTTCAAACATGTTTGGTTAAGAATTAGCATTGCAAGCGTGTTACAAATTGACTTGTTAGTAAATTTTCAAACGTAACGCTTTGTTGAAAACGTCGTGAGAAAATTGTATCGTTAGTATCTTGATTAGTCACTTCCGACTAGTCCATAATTAGCTAAATTTAAGTATAAGCGATGAATCTTCAAACTTGATCATTTTCGGAAGCCTTAAACAAATAAAGTTATTCTTTTCTCTTGCGATTTATTTTTTCGTCAGAATCATGGCCGATTGTATCACGATTACAGGAACATTGCACGTGTGTATGTACGTGTGTGCATGCGTGTGTGTGTGTGTGTGTGTGTGTACATACATATGTATGTATACATGTACGTATGTATGTAAAGTGTGTGTATAAATTATTTTTCTAATCGAGGGAAAATCGCAAGAGGTTGCGTTCGTTCGGAGATACCTATGTACGTTTCCAAAGCGAACAGCAAGCTTTTGAGACACTTCATCAACGACAGATGGATCTCGAAAGGGACGGAGATCGAGTCTGCCGTAGGGAACCATTAACGCGAAAAGCGGTCGATTGTCTTGTGACTTTGTAAAATAATCGAACACTCGCACCTCGCGTCGCCTTCTCTCGGCCGTTTTTTTTTTTTTCTTTTCTTCTTCTTTCTTTCTCTCTCTCTCTCTCTCTCTCTTTTCTTCTTACGACGTTGTTCGTTTTTCTTTTTCCAGCAAGCAAGAAGAACACGAACTTAAATCTCTCGGGTCATATCTTCTCGACTGCCGGTGACCCTTCAGTTTTCGAGATGCACCACGTAAACTGTCTGACCTGTGTGCCTGGTACGGATATGAGACATCACGTTGGACGTTTGTTTGCTACGGAACTCGCAGTAAGGACACTGGAATCTCGGTGCTTGGCCGCACTCGTACTTGAGATGCCTGGTCATGTTGCCCTTCACGGTGAAACATCTTCCGCATTTCGGGCAACCGAATGGCTTTCTGAAGCAGTCAGCGAACGATCCCTTCGCGTACGTGTTCTTCACCCGTGCATAGTAATTCGGCAGAGATCTCGGCACGGACGCGCCACTGGGATCAGTCTGACCAACTTCCCTGTTGCTTCCCTCGTTCTCGAATGCTTTACAAGATTGTAAAACGAAGTTTAGATCCAATTGTGGCGCCGCAGCGTAGAAACCTGAAACTTCAAGATTCGCTAGTTAGCCGAATCGCGGAAATAAAGTCAGACGGATTTGGGAAGTGATCGGGATCGCTGGAAATCGCCGAAAACCGAGAGAAATCGATCGCCATCGATCGTTCTCTCGTTCAGAGGCATTGCGATACAATCGGGCTAGATCTAAATCAGATCAGACACGACTGGGCTCGGATAGGATCGGGTCAGTTTGGTTCGATTCGATTCGATTCGATTCGATTCGATACGATTCGGTTTTAATTAGAGATCGTACGAATCGGAAAGCACTGAAAACGGAAAAAGAAAAGAAGGATACCTTAGAAAGTTGCGGATGATCTTCTAGATGAAAACATCGAGCCAGTTTCCGGACGCCTCTCTCAAGCTATATTATTTTTTCTTTTCTTTTCTTTTCTTTTGTTTTCCTTTTTTTCTTTTTTTCCTTTCTAGTTTTTTTCGTTTCTTTTTTAATTTCAAAGAGAACAAGCGCGGCAAAATCGCGCAATTTTAACGGACTTTATTTTTAATTTTTTAATATGTACTAGAGAAAAATACGTCTTAGGCTACGTTAACGATAATTATTATATCTACTGAATGGAGATCGTTGTGTACCGTTGTCTTCGGGTGATGACGACGACATCCTTGATGTTCAACTAGGCATTCGTGCACGGAGGAATGCAGATGAAAGGTTACTGATCGACAACTCGAACAATTGGCGTGCACGTTAGCAGAAATTCGTACAACACGATAAGAGAATTGTTAAACTAGGAAGGATCATTGGCGTGCATGTATTTCGTGTGTAAATTCGCATGCATTTTTACTCAAAATATTTACACATAATTGTCGTTCGAAGGTTAAATGCAACGTTGATAGGGTTCGTGTGGCGCTGAAAAGATCTTCCAAGATGAGCGCGCGTGCTGTAGAGAAATACGTTTCCTTAGAAAGCGAGTAGAAGATCGAAAAAGCGACACGTCTCGGTTAACACTGAGCTAGATCGAGCGCAGAACGAATGGTTCGTCGATGAATTTCGTCGTCGAGTGTTCGAGTTCAAAGCTTCATGTCGAAGATAAACACTTCCTCTTCCGGATGTTTTTTCCTGATGTGAGCGTAGACCGGTGACGTTTGCTTGCTGCGTAGACCGCAATAAGGACACTGAAATCTTGGTTCGTGGCCGCATTCGTAATTCACATGCCGATCTTTGTTTCTCTTCAGGGTGAAACCGCGACCGCACTTTTGACACTGAAACGGCTTCTTCTTGTCGGAAGCGTTTATCTTTAAGCTCCTCCGTTTCACAGTTTTGCCCGATTCCAAACAACGTTTCCCAATCGATCCCGAACGGCTCTTGAAGATTAGGTTCTGTCCGTGCGCAGGCGGTAGAATATGGAACCCTGAAACACGGAGACATAAATACTGAACAGCATACTCTCTCTCGACCGCTGTACAGAAGATGCTGTACAGCTCACGGAGTTGAGGTCGACGTTCCGTTCGAATGCGTCGCGCCGCGAGGCTCCAACGACTCGACTCGAGGGACAAACAACAACCTACCGTCCCTCGTAGATACCATTACTTAGTAGTCCTACTAGCTAGCTCTGTGTCCGCCGCGAAAAATAATCAATTAGCTTCAATTACTCGTTCGTTGTGGTCACAGAGCCGCCTCTAGGAACTGTCGACTAGCCATCGAATAACCGCGGAGAAAGCACCAGCGCAACGCATTCCACGGAAACTGCGTTTCGAACGCTTCTTCGCGATCCATCCACCGAAATTTCGAAACTACGTTCACAATTCAAAATTACAATCTTACAAGAAATATTTTTTTTTTTTTTTTTCTGCTCTGTCGCGCAAACTCGACACGCACGAGAGCTAAACAACGCTTGCTGTGCGATCCTCTTTTTTCCACGAAGCATTCACACTGTACGGTCGCAACGACATCGTTAAAAAGAGCTCGGTTCCTCGGAGAAACAGTGTGTCCCCGCGTCAGCTGGGTTGTTCGTTAGACAATATTTAATTGGAGAAACAATTAAAACAATTTGAGACCCTGGTGCTTGTCACCTGTCACACACCAAGATGCACTATGATCGTACGGATGGATCTCGTACAAGGGGAGGAACAACTTCGTATTTTTTTTTTTTTTCTTTTTTCTTTTATTCTTCGTTTCTTTCTTTTTTTTTTCTTTTTTTTCTTTTTTTTTCTTTTTTTTCTTTTTTTTCTTTTTTTTCTTTTTTTTCTTTTTTTTCTTCGACGCAGCACGATGCTTTATTGCAAGCAACAATCGAGAAGACAACAACGAAAGACGAAATATGGAACAGTCGGTTACAATCGGAAGAAAACGTTGAGCTTTCGGTCCCAGAACATTTGCGCGAGTTGAGGATGATGTACGCGTAAGTGACGGATCATGTGCGACTTTTGGTAGTTTTTCATCGTGCAGTGAGGGCACTCGAAGCGCGGTGGCTGTTTGCACTGATTCCGCAAATGCGACAACATCGATTTCTTCCACTTGTAAAGATTGTGACAACTGGGACACTCGTACAGTCCATCTCGTCGCATGGTAGTGAATTCTCTGCTAGAACGAGCGTAGAACCGCTCGATTTCCGTCCTGCCTTTTCCCCTCTCTGAAACAAATATACAGACAAAGAGAATGTTATTAACAGCGAACTATTATTTCGACTCGTTTTAGTAGATTCACAGAACACGGTCGCCTGGAATTTTCTTCGTCTATCTGTCTGCTCTTAATCCTTTCATATCATCCCTTGATAAAATTTCTCCTCATAGAAACAGGAAAAAATTCCAAGGAAAAAAATCAGCGTTTCTTTGTTTCGCGCAGTTCAATCGTCAAACTTAATATCTCGTGCAGGTTTCTCTTTTCTTTTTTCTCCTATTTTTTTTTTTTTAACACAATTCTTGAAAACATTTCCTTCTTCACAAACCTGCAACTTCTTCGTCCCCTTCAATCATCCGGTTTACAAATATTTGTTTAATTAGTAATATTTGTAAATTACCAGGCTTGGTCACTTAAATATGTTTACGAAACGATATTAAAAGTACGATAGTGCACAGTCCATTGCGATCGACAAAACAAATATTACAAATATTCGAAAATAAATAAGTGGAAAACTTAAAAATTAATATTTATTATTCATTTCTGAAGCTCTTTTGAAGCATGTTGCAACCTTAAAAAGTAGAATGTGAAAATTCTTCATCACACTCAGATGTAAGAAGGAATATGCGCGATGAATATCGTCGTCAGTACAACTAGATCGATATTATTAAACGTGCACCACGTCGACATTTACAAATGCAGATTTTTGACACTGCAGAACGTAACTTCGGAAAGGACGATTAAGTACAAAGGAATAGGATTGAAACTAAACGAAATAAAGACGAAATGAGACGAAATGAGACGAGACGAGACGAGACGAAACGAGACGAAACGAGACGAGACGAAACGAGACGAGACGAGACGAGACGAGACGAGACGAGACGAGACGAGACGAGACGAGACGAGACGAGA